AAGAAATAATTTAATGGAACGATAACATAAATTATATATTCGATAGGCCCGTTATGTTTCGAAAAACAATAACATTATCAGCATATATAACACGTGGTAAATATATATAATATATATATACCAATATGTTTACAGTTTCACGTACACGCATATGTATACTTAGAATAAAGAGGCAGAATCGCGGGAAAATCAAACATATCAAATTAAAATATTAAAATGTTTCCCGGCACGCTTGACTTTATCCAAAATTCCGGTTCAGTTTCAAAAACTCAACAATCAAAACAACGAAACTAATTCTTAGTTCAATTCGCAGAAAAATTGTCATTAGCATCTATCGATTATAATAATATAATAATATAATTTTATCCATAAAAAACAAGTAAATTATAAATTGATACTATAGTAAAAATATTATAATCGAAAGATGCTGTTACAACAAAAACTATCGTGACAATATCTCTGCGAATGAAATTATTAAAGTTTAATTTTTTGTTTCGCACAAAAAATTTTTGAATTTTCCGCCAATCTGCTTGTTCATTTCGATCGACTGAATTCCCTATAGCGCAGTCAGTATAAAGTTGTTACTGCACGAAGATATCACGATCAAAAGCATTGACTTTTTTGCAGGAAAATAATTCGATCATAGTTTTCGTTATTAGCTCGTTTATGTGATTCAAACAAAAGAATATTGATTAAATATTAAAAAAACTTAATCCATTCGTTTAAAATAAATATAACTATAAATGTAGTTTAACGAATAACAAAACATTTAACCTCGCAACTATGTGTATTAATTATAATATAATCATAACCTATAAACATGAATTTTTTTCATGAAAACGATTATCGATTTATACATACAAAATATCATCATCAATTTTTTATAAATAAAATTGTATTGCCTATTCTCGCAATTCAAGATAAGTATAATTTACACCGTATACATTATATGTTTATATATATATATATATATATCTTTCGTATACTATATACATAGAATATATAGCACACATTTATATGTTCCATATATAAATATTTAATAAGATTAACAGTGTCAATATAGTATATAAACATTTTATCAAATATGCTTTTAATTAAAATAAGGAAAAAGAAAACTATTGATCGGAACTCGTATATGGAAGTCGAAACAACGTCTTTTGCAAAAAGTATTCAATGCTTTATCTCGAAATATCTTGAAGAGGACGCATTTACTTGAAGTTTTCATTCAATTGTTACATCTACAGAAAAAGGTATGATAGATAATATATAATATATATACAAGACGCTACACTCCATGAGAACATATTATATAATACTAAAACGTTTTTGGTGGTATTTTATTGTTGTTTAATTTATAATAATAGATTATTAATATCTACTAAAGTATTCCCTTTGTTTTTCTTATTTTTCTTTCATTCTATTCTACTCTCTTTCTCTCACATTCTCTCTCCCTTTCGCTCTATCTTTCTCTCTCTCTCTTTCTCTCTTCATCTATATCGCTCATTTTTATTCTCGTGCATGATTTCTCGAATAAACTCGATCAATTACATGGGAGATCGTTACATCTCATTTCTATTTATTTTAATCTTTCTTTTTTTTTTTATTTCTTACTGCACATCCTTTGTTTTTTTCTTTGTTCTTTTTTCTCATAAAAAAAACCTGTGTTTTTAAAAAAATTCATTGATATATCGTCCACGTTGGAAAATACATATATACATATTTATGTATAATATGTACGTATACATCTATACATATTATATGTATATATATATATGTAGCTTATAGAATGAGGCGAAAGCAAACGGAACAGAACGAAACAAAAAATTTAAATAATAACGCTTTTGTATTTGTCATATCTGTTTAGAACCATTTGGTGTGCATTACCTGTTTTTTTTCTATAACGAACTTTTCTCAACGATCTCTTAGTCCTTCTTGTCGCCGTCTTCGGGGTCTTTAAGCGTGTGCCATTGAGCGATAGGACGTCTCGGGGATGCCAACATATCGGACCAGTGTCTCAACTCTGTTCCACTCGCGTTGTACCCCAAGACGACCTTCCCAATGGGTTCTGATGTGCCGATACGATCGTAATCGACTACCGTGACAACCAATTGCACTTTCTAAACGTGAAATCACGCATTAGTGCACACAGTCTCTTCACGGAAATATATATATATTTTTTTTGTTTGTTGCCATAACCTCCGGATTGTAACGTGTTTACAAAAAAGTTTATTAAAAATAGAATATCGAAAAATATAAGTATATAAATGTAAGTATATATAGGGAATTTATAGGGAATTTATGTTTTAGGAAACTAGTACTTTAGGAAATTAGTCTACTAGAAATTAGTCTAGAAAGAATAAAAATGTAATAAAAAAAAAACTGATATTATGGGATATTTACAATGTAGAATTTTTAATGATTTTTAATATAAAAAGAATATATAAAATATAATATAAAAAGAATATAATTATATAAAAAGAAAATTTTATTACCGTTTAAAAATTTGAAATTACTTACTACTATTATTGATATGAAAAATCTTGCATCTCTTTTTTAAATAAGGAATATATAAATTTCATTATATCTTGAATTACATATATAAAATATATATAATGTATGAAATGTTCGTAAACATGAAAAAAATTTAAAAATAAATTAATTGATATCAAGAATAAAGATACTTGACTTTAACTATTATATTGACTTTAATTATTATATATATTTTACAATTATTTATTGTTAATTCTCTTTTTATTTATATTTAATTTTATATAAAATTGTAAAAAATTGTAAATATGAAAAGTTAATGATAATACAACAAGAAAAGACAAAGAAGGAAAAACTAAATTATTTTTCATTTTATTTTTTTTTATAAATAAATATTAAAAGTAAGCCTAAACTTTTAAACGATAATATATGCAAGTAATAAGCAAAGCTTGTTTAATGAACTTACATTGTTTAGTTTAAAAAGGATGTTCCTTCTTTAGACACGTCTGACCTTCGATTCAAAGAGCATGCAAAGCGTTTAAGCGTAATTCTGAAGCTCGTATATGAATAAAGTGACAGCATTTTACGCGATATTACGTAGCGAATAATATAATATTTTAATACACGTTTTACAATCCGAAAGTATGACATTTAAAAAAAATTGAAATATTAGTCCCTTCATAAAGCTGTTTTAATCCCTTTTTAAATAAATATAAGATCTTTTTTAGCCTTTCTTTTTATTCAAAAATGGAAGTAAAGAACTTTTTTATCTATTTATAGTAAAATTGCTTTCTAGAATAAAAATAGTGCACATTATATTGTCGATACTTTATGAAGATACTTTTTTTTATTATCACATTACATACAGATCATTTATTCGTGTTTTCAGTTTAAATCATCCGTTTGCAATGAATATTAAATATTTACCAAGTATCTTATACTATAATAGTACAAAAAAAAGTAAGAAAAAAATTATTGTCGTGAATTTTGTCTAAAAATTAATTGAAAAGAAAACGTGACTAATTAATATGTAATAAGAATAATAGAAAAATGTTGAAGTGTACTGTTACCTGTGTTTGTGAACTGTGTCAAACGTGGAGAACCAAATATGTATTAAATTGATCTATATGAAATTTAATTCTATTACAAATTCTTACCAATCAAATTTAGGAAAGATATTTAAATTTGATGAAAAATATTATAATTATTATACTCATAGCTTTTATATTTATAAAGAATTACAATTATTCTTCTACTAATTTTTTAATTAATATATTTTTTTAACAAGATTGTAAATTAATTTTTTTTTTAATTCAATACAATTATCAATTTCATATACACCAATTTAATAAATGGAGGATCATAGATAAATTTTAAAGATTCGTACCTGTATCTGTTCGAAGGGTACCTCAAACGTGAATGATTCGTTGTAATACGGATTAAGAGTGCATTTTTTGATAGACGTTTTCTTCTTTTTCAACCTTTTGCCATTTTGCATAAGAGCAATTTTTACATAAGGATCTGATAAACCACCGACGTCCATTTTCTTCAGATTTTTCGCTTCCAAGATGACCACAGTTAATTTACCAGCAGTGGGCACGTATCGAAGCGAGAAGCAAATATCACCTAATTTATTATCCTGTAATGAATTTACACGAATTTTAATCTCCACGAGACTCATGTTTTAAAATAATAATGTTCAATAATATTTTGTAAAAAAAAAAAAGAACAAGAGAGACGCAAATATATTTCGTATATTAAATTTTACAAAATAATAATTGAAATCTTTTTTAAAAGCTTTTTTAGCTTAATAATTTTTTTTTATGGATCAATCAATACATAAAAAAATATATGATTTCATTTAGAAAAACAAATTTATGACCACCATCCAAATTTACCTGACCACCTTCACCCTCGACACTCTGCAGTTCTCTCCATTCTTCGATCGTTTGGGCCAAATCGACTTGGCACAGTGGAACCTTGACTTCACCGATCTGATCGTGTTTGGAGAACCTGTCGAAGTCGAAGATCGCGAAAACGAGAGTTTTATTCATCGCATCCGCATAAGGTACGCTCTGGAAAACAAATATGTCCCTCGATCATTCTTTGGAAAAATATAAATGGATTCATTGAATTGATTGTCGAAAAAAGAACTAACCTTGAATGTGAAAGTCTCGTTGAAGACTGGGCTAAGCGTTTTCCTGTGCACTTTTGTTTCGAATTTTTTCTTCTTGTCGGGTAGTAGATAAACCTTTACGTACGGATCGGAAGTACCACCCATGTCCAAAGCTGGCAGTTCCTCGGCTTGTATCACCGTCACCGCTAAACTGTTCGTGTTGAAATCGTATTCGAGCTGCAAATGTTCAATGATATAATAATTTATTTAATTGGGATAAATACAGGTATATTAATAAATACAATTAATATAACATTTGAAATATTTTGAAATTATTTCTTCTTCTCATTATTGATAAGAAATAAGATTGATATTATTTAATTAATTTAATTTATTTATTAAATTATTATATTATATTTATTATATTATATTATAAATTAATTTGATTAATTTAATTTAGAATTTATTTCTCTTGATTTGTTAAATGATAAATTTTTTAAGAACGATTTGATGATAAAGATTGCCAAGGATGATGATGGAGATTGAAAAAAAAAATTTTACCTTATATTGAAGTTTCCCAAGTTTCACCTCGCTCTGCTTACTCTCAGCTTCATCTGGTTCCTCGGCGTTGTCAGTAAGTTCTTCCATATCCGGCTGGACCTTAACAAATCGAAGTGGATTCCACGAGTGTAGAATGTGCGTCTAAGATCTACATGAAGTCATGGAACACGATTACGTACCTTGTCTTTGTACGTGCTTCCCAATAGTTGAACGGATTTTAAGTCCACCGCCCCCTTCAATCCTTTCTTTCCATCTTTGGATCGTCTTTTGCGACAGCATCTTCTGATGCAGCAGAAGCAGATTCCGAGAACTACTACGCTTACAGCTACTCAAGCATAAGAAGGGAGAAATTTGAAAGAATTAAAAAAATGATTTGGTGTTGTAATGAATGTTTGGTGGAACGAAGAAATTATTATTAGGTAACTAACTAATAATGAAAATTGATTCCTGTTAAATGAATTTCTGAGGGAATATTGTGAATATTTCATTTTTTCTTTGAATCTATTTTTTTAATTTTATCATTCCTATTTTTATGGTATTATTTACTATATTAAAATTCTATAGAATATAAATTGTATAATAAAATTCGACACCATTTTCTTTTCGATATTAAAAAGTATGTAAAGGATTTCGATTTTTTAAATTTCGTTCCACCTTATTTTTGGTTGACATCATGCGCATAGTGCGTCTATTCAAGCAAAATTTGCAAGCATGAAAGCAATTTTTATTTTTCTATTCTGTATTTTATATTTTCCCATTAATGCTTCTGCTGTGTAACGAATGCAATTTTTCTTAAAAATGATATGTCGTAATAATAAAAATATTCTTATTTACAAACGCAACTGAAACAAAGGAAATTTTTACAATTAATGTTGTTCGTTTGGAGTATGTTCAGCAATGTTCGAGTTATCTGAAAGAGTAAAATGTTTTAGGATCAACTGTTTTTTTAGGTAAAGAAAAAGTTTTCAGATTGTTTTGTGTCTTCTTGTGTAGATATTATTACTTTGTGGAAATATTTGTACATAGAAAATCATTATTACTTTTGACTTTATGTGAAAGTGTTATCTGAAAACTTTTATATATTATTGATGCAGTATTTTATTATCAATAAATCTCGTGAAAGTTCTTTTTCTCTCTAGCTTCCTCACAAAGTTTTTTATAAAATATTATATAAACATATTCAGTATTATATATTAGATTTAAAATCAATTGTAAGATTTTTTAAAATTATTTTTATACTGTTTAAGTGAATTTTTTATAATGTTTAAATTATTCCATTCCTAAAATTCAAATAATTTCATGTGCTTCATAGTTTCTTTAAGTATCAGTATATATGTACAGTATATATGTATCTAAAGAAAAAGATTTTTAACAATTTTTGCAATATCAAAAAATTAAAGATATTTTAAAAAATATGATAAACTGTATAGGTATAAATTGTGATATCTATGTTCTTAAAGATATACTTATCTTATTTTAATAACAAAGAATTTACTTTATTTTTTGTATCATTTATCCTATTAATAAAGTACATAAAAAAAAAAAAATAGCAAAAATCTCAACCATTTTTTTTTTTTACCTATTAAAATGGCAACAAGTCCCCATGTTGGTATTCCCATTTCCTCCGCGATTTCTTTGCCGAGATTTTCCATTTGAGTTTCAAAATTTTTCCCAGCATTTTCGGTTACTACCTCTGCCTCTGTGGCTGCAAAACGCAAATAATAACACAACAATATATAATAATCCGAAAGGAAAATCTTTCGCGTAAAGAGAGAAGAACAAAGAACAATTTTCAAGAATTCTTGAATTTACCTTCTTTTATTTCCATCTCGGTGCTCAAAAATGTTTTTAACGTCGATTCAACGATCTCCTCCGGTTGCTCTTCCGGCACCTTCTCAGCTTCTCTCTTGTTAATGGCAGGCATTTTCTGTAATATTAAAATAAATATTTTAATATTTATGCTACTGATATTATCAATTGATATATTACAATTTATTAAAAGTTTCTTTTTAAAAATTTATTCATGAAAATAAAAATACAATACAATTCTAGAATATTTCTAAAAATTTTTATATATTATTCTTAATTTTGAAAATTGTTTTCAAGCCGAAGTATTAATAATTAAAATAGGTATAAATTTTTTTTTAAGTCAATTTTTATAATATGTCAAAATTTTATCAAATTTAATCAAAATTAATAATTTTCAATTATTCAGAATATTCTTTTGCAATCTGATAAAAATCGTAATTTTGAATAAATGAGTGGAAAAATTATAATTATAAAAATTACATTGTACGATTATAAATTTGAATAAAAAAAAATATACTTAATTCAGTAACAAAAACTCAAAGTTCTCAACATGTCTATCCTCATTTTTAATATTTTCAACGCATAATAATAAATATTTTAGTCACTCAGTGCTTTTATTACCATTTATGATCAATATCGATACAATTTATCAAGAATTCGCACGAGTTCCAGCGATATCACATTTAATGCATTTTTTTTTTAAAAGTGTGTCATAGACTATGATCGAAAAAAAAAATAACTTTTTTCCTGGAAGCAGTAAAATTTTTTTACGCGATGTTTACCATTGAAATAAAGCTCGCTGTGAAAACAACGATTTGAATTCTATCCTCTTTTGAAATTTTTTTACTAAACTTCTTGTACCATGGTTATTCAAAACGCCATGTATGATGATTTGGCAAAAATTATACAAACATTATAAATATAAATATTTCTTAGAACAGAAAAAAGACAAAAAGAAAATATCGAGTAAATCTTTTTACAATATAAAAATATATACGTAGAAAAGAAAAACTAAATTTAATAATTTTTTTTTCTAAATTAATTTAAACAAACGATTTAATTTTTCAAAGATTTTTTTCTTAAAATTATTACGTAATTTTTAATTTTTAATTTAAACATTTTTAATTTTATTTAAATTATTACACTCGTATTATTCCTTCACCTTTTCGTTTTCCTTAATTCAATGATAGAGCTTTATACGATGCAATATTTTAATTTTAGATTAAGTATAGAAAAATTGCACGACATTTATAACTTTTTGCTAAATAGCTTTTACATACTTGGACATGTACGTGTTGTGTTATCAATTGTCTTGACAGTTTCTTTTATGATTAGGTGAAATTATAGATCAGTTAAACGTCATGGACAAGTGTTGTTAGAAAACTTTGTTCATACTATTGAAGTCTATGTGTATACAGACTGTATATTGTTTTCAACAAAAAATAATTTAATATTATATTTTACAATATTTCGAAATATATTGTTACTTTAATTGCACACAAATTTCTAACTTTTTATAATTTAATTGGAAATAAAATAACACGAAAAAAAAATACACTACACATCAAACAAAAAAGGAAAAGTGAAAATTACACGAAATGCGATTTATAAAAGTTTCGATTTTCACGTTTTCTTTCAATTATTGAAAAATTTAATATAAATCGTAAAAATGGATTTCATTCTTTCGATTCCATGTTTCTGTAACCACTGCGAGATTTTACAATCAACATTGTGCTTCCGCATTTGCAGATTAAATTCGCATGCGTATCGTGGTCTACAGATTTCTATTTTAATACGTCATTGGATATCAACGAAAAATGTGATATTCGTAATACTGAATGCGAGAGAAAAATAATTTTTTTTTTTTAATATCGTGTATAATATTATACAAATAAAATCAATTTAATTAAATAAAATAATGTAAATAATTGAATGCAAAATAATTAACGATGAAAAGAATAAAAAAGAATAAAATTTTAAAGTGAAAATTAGAATTCAGAATGGTGTAATAAAAATAAAATATAAAAAAAAATATAATATAGGAAAAATGAAAAAAAAAAGTTTAAAAATATTAATAAAAT